CACCCAAAGATCCGATGCCTCCATTTCTTCCATGCGCAGTCCCTTGAGGTTCTGACCCATTCCCCGGGAGGTTCTTCCATGCGCAGTCCCTTGAGGTTCTTCCATGCGCAGTCCCTTGAGGCCGAGAACGGCGGAAAACATCCGTTTTGACTGCCCCAGCCGCCCTGGGCGTGCTGGGCGGCCGCGGCTGCCACGGCCGAGGAGCGGCTCGCGGCGGCTGGCGGCGGCTGGCGGACGGAGGCGCCGCCGTCGTTTGGCGCACCTCTGCCGCGGCCCGGCCCTGCCGCTCACGGACCCAGTGCCGTGGTGGTAGCCCGGTGGGGCGCCATCGGCGGAGGGGGAGGAGAAGAGGGAGAGCGAGAAGGAGGAGGAGGAGGAGGAGGAGGAGGAGGAGGGGGAGGGGGAGGAGGAGGAGGAGGGAGGAGGGGGAGGAGGAGGCGGAGGCAGAAGCGGAGGAGGAGAGGAGGAGAAGCAGAAGCAAAGGAGGAGGAGGAAGGGGGGTCCTGTCGGTGATCGACGACATGGAGCAGGCTGAGCAGACAATGGCCGCCAAACTACCCACCCCTCCTCCCTCCTCCTCCTCCTCCTCCTCCTCCTCCTCCTCCACCTCCGCCTCCGCCTCCTCCTCCTCCTCCTCCTCCTCCTCCCTCCTCCTCCTCCTCCTCCTCCTCCTCCCACCTCTTCCCTCCTCCTCCCTCCTCCTCCCTGCTCCTCCTCCTCCTCCTCCTCCTCCATCCTCCTCCTCCTCCTCCTTCCTCCTCCTCTCCGTGTCATTATTTGTCTTAGCTCCTCCCCAAAATTCCACCCGTCCCCCTCCTCCCTCCTTCCCTCCTGCATCCTTTCTGCTCCTCCTCCTCCTCCTCCTTCTCCCTCATCCTCCTTATCCTCCTCATACCACCATAACCACTAGAAGCAACAACAACAACAAAAAACAAAACAGCAACTACAACAACAACCACAACCACAACCACAGCAGCAGCAACAACAACAAGAACAACAAACAACACCAACAACAACCACAACAACAACAGCATCATCATCAACAACAACATTAACAACACTGACAGCAGCAACAGCAACAGCAACAGTAACAGCATCAGTAATGGCAGCAGCAGCAGCAACACCAACACAAAAAAACGATAATAGTAACAACCTCATAATGAATGACAGCAACAACGGCAAGAATTATCGTGACCAAAACAGCAACAACCGCACCAACAACCACAACAACAACTAGAACAACAGTAACAAAAAAAACACAACGTCAACAACAACAGCAACAACAACAATATTAACAGCAACAGCAACAGCAACAGAGGGAACAACAACAGCAGCAACTACTACTACTACTACTGCTACTACTACAATCAGTTTAAGACTGTTCGTTCTTATACGATCGCGTGCCACTCAACACGTATATCCCCAACCCTCGATACCCGCCCTCTTCGTCTTCGATTGTACTCCCTTCGGGGCACATCTTGCTTACCTGCAACGTGTATTTCGTGCAGCCCCTGAGGCAGGGGAACAGAGAACAGATGAAAGGAAGGGACAAGGGGGGTGGGAGCAGGATGGAGCACGAGAGAGAATAGCAGGAGGGAGGCTAGGAGCAGAATACACGTGGCAGAACCAGACGGGCAGATCGGGCGGGTAGACCCTGACACGCGGATCGGGAAGGCGGGCCCAGGCGGCAGGTCGAGCAGACGGGTTGCTGAAGCGTGCGTCCTGCATGAATCGCGCGGAGCGACAGCGCAATTCCCAAATAAATCGTGAGGAAATCCACAGCGAGAGCGTGATTCCTGAGTGTCGGCGCGGCGTTTGAACAAATTTGGAGGAAGTCCCACGCGAGAGCGCGATTTCTGTATACAGTATGAGGTAATCCAGCGCAAGAGCGCTATTTTGGAATAAATTGTGAGGATATATCAGGCGGGAGCCGTTGTTGTTGTAACTCGGAGGCCAGGGGCGCAGTTTGACGCTCAAGACTTCCCACGATAAAAAAACAGGGTGCGAGCCCTGGAATGGGCACTTCAGTTGAACAAATACCATGTGTACCGGGCAGGGGGGGGTCAACAATACTGATTCTTCAGGAAGGAGAATTCAGCAGCAACAACAACAACAACAACTGCAAAAAACAACAACGACGACGGCGACGACTTCGACAACAACAACACTACCGTCACCACCATCGGCATCAGCATCAGCAGCACCACCACCACTGCCAACATCATCAGCATCGTCATCATCTTCCTCGGCGTCATCATCACCATCATCACCATCACAATCATCATCATCATCATCATCATCATCATCATCATCATCATCATCATCATCATCATCACCATCACCATCACCATCACCATCACCATCATCATAATAAGCATCATTATCACAAACACCATCATCACCAGCATCTCATCATCATTATCATGATAATCATCAGCATCAGCATCAGCATCGTCGTCATCCTCTGCATCGTCATCATCATCAGAATCACCATCATCATCCACGTCATCACCATCGTCATCATCATAATCAGAATCGGAGGCACGAGCGTCAGCATGATCGACATCATCAGCAGAAACGTTAGCATACACATCAACATCGACATCAACATACGAATCAACATCAACACCACAGCACGCATTACCATCATGATGAGCAACAGCAAGATCATCATCAGTATCATCATCAGCATTATCAGCATCATCATCCGCATCAGCATCATGATCATCAGCATCATCCTCATTAGAATCACCATCATCATCAGCATCGTCAGCATGATTATCATCATCGGCGTCGTTATCGTAATCGTAATCATCATCAGCATCATCATCAGCAGCAGCAGCATACTCGTCATCATCATCATCAGCAGCAGCATCATCATTACCGTCGGGCTACTCTCAGAATCAGCCATAGGGGTCAGGGTAGTAGTCAGTCGCTCCTCTCGGTTCACGTCCTCCTTCACTCCTTCAACCTCATCCTCCTCCTCCTCATCACCATCATCACAATCATCATCATCATCGTCATCATCAGCAGCAGACTTAGCATCAGCAGCTGCATCGTTATCATCATCATTACCATCATCATCAGCATCATCATTACCATCAGCATCGTCATCATCATCATCATGATCATGATAATCATCATCATCATCATCATCATCAGCATCATCATCATCAGCATCCGCAGTGTCCTCCTCCCCTCTCTGCATGCATGGCGACAGGTAGCTGCAGGGTCCCTGGAAGGATTGGGGGAGTGAGCGCCAGGCATGCACCCGTGAATCCCCCCTTTTCACACTGGCTGTCGAGCAAGAGCCCAAGGCAATCGATGAGCAGGAGCTGCGATTGCTAATTGCGAGGGTTTGGCAACTGGCATTCCGGGTGGGAGCACTCGTCCAGCACCAAGGTTCCAGGCGAAGTCCACGACACCAGCCCAACCCTGAGAGCCAGAGTGGCTTCACTTCCTCCATCTGCCTCCTCTCCCTCACTCAGGGTGGGGATCGGGTGAGCCGTCAGTGCTGCTAATTGGCAAGGTGGTGGCTCCTTCCCTCCCACTCCCATTCCCCCATCCTTCCCCATCCTGTCCTACTCGTCCGTAAACCCCCCATCACTCCTCTCCCCTCCTTGTTCTCAAGCAACCCGCAGCCGCGACCTCCTCCTCCTCCTCATCCTCCTCCTCCTCCACCTCCTCCTCCTCCTCCTCCTCCTCCTCCTCCTCCTCCTCCTCCTCCTCCTCTCCTCCTCCTCCTCCTCCTCCTCATCCTCATCTCATCATCATCCTCATCATCATCATCATCATCATCATCATCATCATCATCATCATCATCATCATCATCATCATCATCATCATCATCATCATCATCATCATCATCATCATCATCGTCATCATCATCATCATCATCATCATCATCATCATCATCATCTTGCTCCTCCTCCTCGCCGCGAAAGGCCACGGCCCAGCAGGGGGCGCCAGGACTCCTGTGTGCGTGGCGTTGCGATGCGACTCCCGCAGTTTCGCCTGGGCGCGGCGAGGAGGGAGGAGGGTCGGCAGCAGCAGAAGAAGAAGGCAGAGCGATCACCGAGGGGGAGGAGAAGGGACAAGGGGGGAGAGGAGGAGGAAGAAAAGGAAAAGGAAGAGGAAGAGGATGAGTAAGAATACTAAGAACAAGCAGAAGAAGAAGAGGAGGGAAGGGGAAGAAGAAGACGAGTCCACGCACCCACGGGAGAACGAGTCGTGCCAGCTAGCTACTGTCGATTGGATTGCGCAAGAGGCTGGCACGCTATCAGAGTAAAGCACATAGGCTGAGGAGGAGGAGGCGGAGGAGGAGGAGGAGGAAGGGGGGGAGACGAGGAGGGAGGAGGGAGAGGAGGAGGAAGAAGACAAGGAAGAGGAGGAGGAGGAGGAGGAGGAGGAGGAGGGGGAGGACGAGCGTGAGGAGGAAGGGGATGCGCTTCATGTACGTTTCGGTACTTTGAGGCCTCGAAAGGGGGGGTCGCCACGGCTGGCGGACTCGCCTGGAAATCTTTGCGGGGCCGCTCACGAAAAATAGCCCGGCGGGTCGATGGGAGGAAGGCTTTTGCATGAGCAGGAGGATCGGGGCAGAAGGACAACGATGAGGAGGAGGAGGGGGAGGAGGAGGAGAAGGGTTACTTGAAGGAGGAGAGAAAGAATGAGCAGAGAAGGGGGATGAAGGCTCCCGCCAGCGGATTCCACGGGCGTTGGGAGGATTTCGGAAGGTTCTCAAACTTCTTTGGGGAAGGTGGGAGGGGTGGGGAGGCGGGACGGTAGGGGACGCGGGAGGAGGAGGAGGAGGAGGAGGAAGAGGAGGAGGAGGAGGAGGAGGAGGAGGAGGAGGAGGGAGAGGAGAATCGATCATGCCATTCCATCGGTTTGGACCCTATTATGTTGAACACGCTGCTGTGGTGCGTGCCGAGGCGGGACACTCTGGGGCGTGCCGAAGCAAAGCCACAAGAATATGTACCACCGTGCATGGTGCCAGGATG